GTGAAAGAATCAATCAGATATATTAAATAACCACCCTAAAGGGTATACATGAATCGCTATTGAGTTATTCTGTCGTGATTCTAATTACCAAATTGATTCTATAGCCTTAATTAACACCTCACGAGAAATTAGTTGGGGTGGTGTACGATTTGTAGTCTATATCTGTTTGTTTTCTTATTTTCCCCTAGCATCAAGAACGCTCTAATATACCTCCATACTGGAAAACATATGCGTATCGACATATTGATACTCACGGACACATGCTTCAATAATGACCTAAACAATAATCTTATTATGTGTTAATGTGTCCTACTTTGACAAATTAAAATATTTTTTATTGTAAAATAATTCTGATTATCTATTGCATTACGACTTACTGTAGCTACCTGCACTTGCATAATGCTGCAGGAGAGATGTGCGGCAGCTGACACAATATCTGTGGTTGCTCAATTATTGTATAGATCTAAGTCTCATCTCCAGTCGAGGTTTCTGCAGAACAATGGGGCCATGGTTGACGACTTCTATGCCCATCTGGTACGTTTGACAGAATGATATAGTATAACCATAATGAAGATCCATTTGTTCAATTGATTAATTAAGTTGGAATATTAGCGTTCACGTTTGAGAATGGTAGAAGTTTCTAGCTTTGCACATCTACAAGCATCACACGGTTTTGTTGACCATTAGTAGCTCATTTCTTCCTCATGCTGTGGAACATTACCATTGGTGCAAAACTCTATTCAAACTTAATGATATTTGTGTTGGTTGAAAATCCAATAATTGTGCCACGCTGCATCACTCTAAAGATATAGTTTCCAGAAATAATGATTCTGTCTTTTCCCTATTCGTTGGTGCGCCGCCTTGTTGTGTTTAGTTGTGACTGGCCATTTTGTGACAGGTGGATGCTGTGCCTGATCTTACTCAGCTCATACATAGAACAACTGCAAAATTGCTACTCCATATCAATGGGTGAGTCACGATGATACATGCTCAGTCAATCATAATCATTACCTTAACTGATTGATGCAAACTCTTGGTTACGAAATATATATTTGTTTACAAACAGTCTCCCTGCACATGATAGTTGTTACTAACTTTAGGGGTTGATTGTTTACAAATTATTTTTCTCACTTTTATTTCAACTCAACTTTAACTCAACTCCACTATTTTTAATATTATTCATATAATTAAATAATACAAACCAATCATTCTTACACATCACATCAACTTTAATTCACTATTCATCCACTCACATAATTTTAACTACCTATAATTTCCAATCATTTATCTCATACTTTTACATCAAATCAATTTTAATCATTTTATTTTAAATATTATTTTAATACATTCTTAAAATTCCACTAACAACCAACCATACACCTTTTTTAAAATTAACTATGGTTAACCAAAATAACTCATTTTAAACAAATTATTCCATAAACAATCAAGCCCTTAGGGTTTTGGACAATTGATGCATTCACTTATGAAGATGCCCATATAGACTAGATCCTTTAGTTTATGTGGGCTGAGGCTATATATACTTAACAAAGGTGGAGGTGGAGGTGGAGGATCAAAGCATTGAGTTTGAGCAAGTGAAGCCGATGTTGTTCCATAGTTTGTGCTTTGGTGAAAAAATACCACTTGTAGTTCTGAGGGCACATACCGAAGAACAATTGTTTTCTGTTTTCTGTTTTCTGATGACAGTGAGACCGGAAGCATCGACACCAATATGTTTTGTAAGCTCATGCTTCAATAAGATGGTATAGCTCCAGTATTATCACAAAGAAGAGGTGTAAGAGCATCACATGAAATACCAAAATCAAAATCAGCTAACAACCATCGAATCCATATAATGTTTTATTTGTTCTTCGCAAAAAAAGAAAGACTTTTTTGGATTTCTGAAGTGGTAGTTGTGGCAAGTGCTCGATGTTTTGCCTTTGTGCTAGAGCGCGATACAACGACCTGCTTATTGGACTTCCATGTAAGAGCAGAAGAACCAAGAAAGTGCATTAACCCGGAACGGATGATTTAAGTGCATTAACCGGAACAAACGACTATTTGTTGAATTACTCGCTCAAGTAGAGTCTGAGTAAGCATGAAGCTAAAGCGAGCTATCACAAGCATTAAACGAACACTGAGATAACGTGGCCCTAAATACCGTAACACACCAAGCAAATGTCCAAAATGAATTGAGTTACGTGCACTCACAAACTGACTCAATATGTGAACAACATGAGCGATGTCTTACCAGGTAAGATAAACCGACATCGAGAAGGATCCTCAAGAGGCGTACCATCAGTAGATGAAGCTGCAAGTGAAGATCTATAGGTGTAGCCAATGTATGACTATCAGTAATACCGGAACGAAAGAAAGAGTGCAACAAGAATTTTAAGATTAAATATCCGTACGATCAAGTGCAACAAGCTCCTCAGACATAGCAAGTTGTCACTTTGGAATATGCGAAGCTTCTTGATATGGATGACTCATCAACAATAGCACTCGCACGTGGAAAACCCAACCTGTCAGGAGGCTCAGTAGTAGCCAATCACGTAATTTTATCTTTGACCAAACTGAGACTCTGGGAATAACATGTGACACATCATAATGAATAAGATCATGAAAGACTGGATAATGAGGCGGAAGCGTGTGCGTCCTATGGACGATGAGTATACACTGTGTGATACGTGAGGGAGGCTCGTCTGAAATGGGTGGTGGAGGCGCATCCTGAGAGGTTGTGACAAAGGGAGATGAGTAAGAGGCAGAAACATCATCATCTAGAAAGGAAATAGGAGGAAGACATACGAAAGAAGTAGTCTCTGAAGAAAAAGTTCAGAAAAAGAAAAAGATGGGGGGTGTGTGGAAGAGTAACAAAAGAAAGGACGATCCACGATAGAGGTTACATCACGCGATATACGAATGAGAGGAGCGGAAGAATCATAACAGCGTTAACCTTATCCTTACGACTATACCCCAACAAACGCACTCAACCAACTGAGGAGGCACTTTAGTGCGCTCACGAGGATCAAACAACACATAGCACGTACATCCGAAAACCCAAAGATGATCATAGTTAGAGGGAATACCAAAAAGTACCTCAACAAGATAGTTTGGAAGACGCCGACAAATAAGATAAATAGCTGTTGGCAAAGCTTCTCCCCCAAAAATGAATAGGAAGAAAGGATGTAATGAGAAGAATTTGAACAGTCTCAATGAGATGGTAATGGTAGTGTTTTCTTTCCACAACGAGCATGTGCACCAGGAGAGCTGGGCAAGAGTGCCCTCAGAGGTAAAAAACCAACGAAAATTACACCACAATCTGAACGAATAACTAGAATATGAGCTGAAACTTGAGTATGAACCATGCGAGCAAAATCTTTGTAAATGGAACACGACTGAGAACAATGTTTAAGATAATAAATCCAAGTATATGATATATCAAGAATGATCATCAATAAAAAAAACATAATATTTATTGCCATCTTTTGTAGGAAAGAGGGACGAACCCCATACATTAGTGAATAAGATCTAAGGTCTAGCAGAATGAGAAATACTAGTAGTATGTGGGAGTTGTAGTTGTTTTCCGAGTTTGCAACTCTTACAATCAAAACTCCAGACTCGATAGATGTACGACCTAAACAACCAATAATAATCAAATTATACAAGCGAGATCCACTCAAATGACCAAGACGACGATGATGCCACTTGGGGAAGGGGGAGGTGGAAGACGAGGCAACAAATGATACACGAGCGGTAGAACCAGAGGGAAGAGGGAAGATGCAAGGTGTCTAAGATGTAGAGACTCAGAGAACGTCTACGGCGAAGATCCTGAATAAAACAAGATGAGTTATCATATCCAACAAAACATCATTGACATGAAAAGAAGATTCTTGGATAACTTAGAAACATAAAGATATTAAGCATTGTGAAAACTGTGAATTGCATATAGAACCCTTATGAGTCATATGACAAGAAGGGTCATTATCTGTCTGAATAGACCGCCTTGCAAGCAACCAAATGGGATGGAACAAATGTCACATGAAAAGATGCCCCAAATCGAGGCGGTGGTTGTAGATACCGACCCCTTTTAAGCGGAATTCGTACGACGAGCTCGAGTAGTAAGGCGTACACGATACTTAGCGAACTTTTCTAGATGTTGAGTAAAACAATTGTCTACGCACTATGACCCATCTTCCCACAAGCTCACAGAGTAGAAGAGTTAAGACGCAAGTGGGTACAAATGGACTGAAATTCTGCGATAAACCGCTCTAACTCCCATGACAAAGCGATAAAGTAAAGAGCTTCTCATCAATTTGATCTGAACACTCCTTTGCCAGCTACCATGGAGATCAATGGTCCCATCAAGTAGTACTCATCAATGGACATGTCGTTCTGACGTGAATTTGCAGCATAAGTAAGTGTGTGCAAGAATGCCACCAGTATCCTAATGGAACACATTCCCTTGGATGTTCGAAAAGAGAAAAGAAGAAAGACTCATAATCATCATGGACAACTTCACATTGTTGCCGATTTATTTACCTCCATTAATATGCCAAATCCTAATATCAGAAATATTTTACTCTCGGCCTTCCGTTCGGGACATCATTAGTCACGTGGAAAGCTCGACCATAACCACTCAACACGGTTTCAACCTAAAAAGCTCACTCCCAATATTTCAGACCAACAAGAGTGATATTGATAGCAATGGAATGAAGTTGTGATATGATTCGACGACGTATAACAATAGGTATGCCTCCACGATAAGCGGACGTGAACAACGACGAGCCGTGATGAAATATGAATGAAGGTGCTACGACGGGCAGCGTAGGGCTATATGACAAACGAGTGACGACCAAAAACTAGAATTGACGAGTGTTGGGACGGATTAGAGTACACAAACCTAACCCCGACAATTGACGAATCTGGAAAAGGGCAAAACGGAAACCAAACAAAACTGAAAATACAGGCAACAAGCTCTCAGAATGCCGATCCCACGGACGTTCGCCGGAAAAAGTTCTGGCGTGCCACGCGCCGGCACGTGTGATGGCCGCAAGAGAAGTCCGGCGCCACGTGTGCCTTACGGCGCAGATTCCAGCGGTGAATAGGGCCTTTTTAGTATATATGTGCTGACCTATAATATACTTAACATATGTTCATATATTTATACACACACACACGAATATATATAGTTTGCGACCTTCACCCTCTTTTCTTTTTTTATTTAGCAATTTAATTAGAAAAAGTCTGCTCTTATTGGATCCATTTTGATCTTGGATTGGATTCTTGCTTTCTGATTCTTAGTCAGTTAATGGTTTACTGGATTCTGCATTATTCTTTTACATTGCCGTTTTTCCTACTTCTCCCAAGTTTTGAATCTACAATTGCTTCTTTTTCGTTGTAAAAGTATGATTAGCTGTCTGATTAACGAGCGGTATCTTGCAGCTTTTTTTTAGTAGTTTGAAAACTGAGTTTTGCCTTCTTTTGTATAGTAGCGAGAAACTCATTGCTCAATGAATTAGGGGAAGAAAATATCATCTATTTATTGTGTTTCATTTGATATTTCATCAAACATTTTGGAAGGGTATTGATTGGAAATTTGAACAGGTATGTGGATCGCATTGCCAATGCTAAATGGGAGGTGAAAGAGCTTGGATTAGAGCATAATGGGTAAATTGTCTATTCATGTTCTCCACTAATATGTAGTTTCAGAGTACTTTCTGTAATTCCACAATTATTTTTGCTCATTCGTTTTCTAGCTAAAAAAAATGGAATTTACCTTTAAATAGCCCTTTTGAAGAAATCACTATAGAAACAATTGACCACTAAATGATTCAAATCAAATAAATCTTTAGTATTTCTGGTGCCTAGTATTATTTGCAGAAATATTGGTTAATTACTGCTTCATTGTGCATGTTGCATAGGGTGGACTGCAAGTAAGCATTTATACACAGCAATCAGAATTTGTAAATAATGCCGACAGTTCAGTCATATCTTCAGCATAACATGGCACTGATAATTTTCCACTTAATACCAAAATAAAAATGGGAATATGTCAAGAAAAGAACTCAAAGGTGACTACACTGTGCAATTTAAAGGGAATGAACAAATCACTTCAGATGCATTTGGGAACAACAATGCTGTCGTTTTCAAGATTTTGATAGTCTGCTGATACATCGTATACTTGATGTTATTTGATGAGGAAATAAAATCAACCAGCTTTAAAAGAGCACATGAGATCTTTGTGGTCGGTTGGGAAATTTCAGCAATAGAATTGAGGAACTTTTTGCTAGCACTGTAGCATATGTACAAAACACAACTGGGTGAAGACAATATAAACTTGTCAAATCATATTCTACCTATTCGTTAGCATTGGATCAGTCGGGCACTATCTTTTGTTAATAGTCATGTTTAATTAATTCTTATGATCATTTTGTGCTAAGTGTTGTGTTGTGTTAATAGCTACGTTGATTTATTACTTGGAGAATTTAAGCACTACAAAACAAGGCTTGCTCATGGGGACATACAGAAAGAGGTAATTTATATATTTGACCCACTCGTTGAAATATGATGGAACTTGACCAAATATATTTCTTGCAAATTTTGTAAGATTTTATCTTGTGAACCTTTTTGGTGTCAAAGTTGATAACATGATTATGCAATAATGAGCTTGTGCCTTAGAAAGAGCACAAGACAATGACCCACTCGTTAAAATATGATGGAACTTGACCAAATAATGAGCACAAGATTTATTAGAAATAGTGGTATTTAATTTATTTATACTTCTTGGTATGTACCTTATTCCCAACCTGCTATTCCCATGAGCCCAGGTTCAAGACCTCCTCCTAGAATGCGGAATTGAAACTGTTGCCGAAACTCTTATTGAGGGCCTATCTAGGGTGAAAAGGTGTACTGATGAGGGGCGGGCTCTCATGTCGCTTGATCTACAGGTTCACTTTGCTTAAGCCCAGTTCGATATGATTTACAAGTTAATTTTCCATTTTTGATTTGATGGAGACTTCATGATTCAGGTTTTAATAAATGGCCTAAAGCATTTTGTCTCCATTGATGTCCGACCCAAATTGCAGATAGTTGAAACTTTTATCAAGGTCCTCTCCCTCTCTCCCTCTCTCTCTCTCCCTCCCTCTCTCTCTCTCTGCACGCGTGGTAATACAGGGACTCCATAGAGGTTTCAAAAAATTGTTTTCTTTCTATATTAGACGGTACTTATCATTCAAAGTTACATCCACGACCCAATTAGGTTTGTGTCTTCCTAAGACATCCTTTATTGAAGCAGCAATATGCAATATAGAAACAATATTTCTGCTGGCATCGGTAATTTTTGAAAGACAAATGGATTTCATTTTATTAGACTAGAATTTGAGATACTTAAAAAAAATAATAGCTATTATCTTACTCAAATTATAACCTTATACGGATTGATTATCAGTTTCCCTGCAAACAATATTGTTGATTTCTTTGTTTTTAACTGCGCTCTTGTCGTGTGATGAACAGGCCTACTATCTACCAGAAACAGAATATGTTCACTGGTCCCGCGCCCATCCGGTATTGTAAAAATAAAAATAAAAAGTCGAATAAAAGGAATCATGTATTATTATTGCTTTTGTCGTGCAACAGCGTGAATCTATAAACGCACTTTTCTGATTTGCAGGAATACAGTAAAAACCAAATTGTGGGGCTTATCAACCTCGTCGCCACTATGAAAGGCTGGAAAAGGAAAACCAGGTTGGAGGTGTTAGAAAAGATAGAATGACCTTCCTTCGCATCAATCCAAGTCTTATTCCATTTGAGGTCCTCAAAAGTTTTGCAATTCCTTCTATTTACCCTGTTTTTTTCCTATATTAATTATTATTATATAAATCCATCTGAGATTTGTGTGTATATGGTCTCGTGTGTAATAGTATTATTATCTTTTCATGAGGGGAACCACTGTAATTTTGAACTGAGCTAGCGCATTCCCAAAATCTCGCATAATCGAGATCTTAATTTTACATTCTTTTCACCCAAGTTTTAAGTACTCTGGTTTTTCTTGCTCATAGTTTGTTCTCGGATGATATCGCTCTTCTGATCCTGTTTCAGCATCCATCAGCAGGATGATTCGCTTAGTGAAGTGAAGAGACAAGTATTGTACAGCTGCATTTGTCATATTTGTTGCGTTCTAACACGAAAAACAAACATTCCATTCCATAATATGAATTATGAAATGACATCTAAGTGTTACATAAAATTTGTTTCAAGCGTGGGGTAAACATACTAGGATCTATTATGCAGTGTCGTAGATAAATCTCTCGTATAGTGAAATGGTGATGACCTACCTTATGCACTTGATTTTGTGTGCAACATAGTAGGGCATGAAATATCAATACTATTTGTAAATGTAGGATATTAAAATTCTGAAAAATACGTATTCAATTATTTAGATATTTGCAAATGGATATTTCGTCCAAATTTCGCGATGCACATGTGCAAATTGTTGGGGTAGTAAAACAAGCACGACGGATAAAAATACCCCTACAATAAATATGACATTACTATCACTAACGAAAATAAGCTAACACAAATAAATAAAATGCGAGAAAGGAAAAGAACAAACAACATTGATAGGAGTTCGACCAATATTGCTTACGTCTTCGGGTGTCGCAAGCATCAAAGCAGCAGGCAGCCTTGGTGAAAGAAGCTAATTGCATAAAGGTAGACGCAAATCGATGAATAGGAAATGTTGTACACGTATCTACATGACCTAAATTATCAACGAGTTCTCCAAACACGTTGAAAATTTGTCTCAGAGTCGCTTCAACCGCAACACCAAATTTACTAAACTTACCACAAAAAAAAAAAAACTATGATTAAATAACTCACAAATTAGGATTTCTTTAGTTAAGGACTTCCTTTTAAAATGCGAGAATAGAATAAGATGCAGTTGTAACCCAAAGGCAAGAGACCTATTTATACTAAAAAGATCTACACATATTTGGTACATCCGTTGTGGGACAAAACTTCATCAAATTTAACAATTCTCCATCTTGACTAATTTTGCTCCCAGTCAGACTCTTCAATCTAACTCAACTGCTGACATTGCCTCCAAATGTTCATGTCGGCGCCAACTCAAATATGCCGAATGTTGGTCAAGTCTAAACAATGTTCAAACTTAACTGCTGTCACTACCTTGGTCATCATATCTGCAGGATTCTCCGTCGTCTTGATCTTCTTCAATACAACATTTTTCATCTTCTATAATCTCCTGCACAAAGTGATAGCGAACATCAATATGTTTCGTTCTTGCATGAAATACTTGATTATTCGCTCAGTGAATAGTATTGTCTGTCACAATGCACTAAGACGTGCTTTTGACCAACTCCCAAGTTTTAAACAAAATTTGAAGCCAAATAGCCTCCTTCACAGCTTCAGTAACCGCCATATACTATGTCTCTATTGTAGACAAAGCAACTGTTGATTGTAAAGTAGACTTCCAACTGACTAGAGCTTTTGCAAAAGTAAACATATATCCAGCCGTTGATATTTACATATCCAAATCGCCCACGTAGTCAGAATCACAATATCCAACAACACACTGACCAAATTCATCCTGCTCATAAACTAATCCAACGTCTATAGTACTATGAATGTACCGTAGAATCCATTTCATAGCTTGCCAATGACCTTTACCAGGGTCATGCATATACCTGCTAATAACACCAACTGCTTGTGAAATGTTTGGCCTTGTACACACCATTACATACATCAAGTTGCCAACTACATTTGCATATGGGACTCTAGCCATGTATTCTCGTTCTTTATCACAGTTTGGTGATAATTGGGCACTTAACTTAAAATAAGGGTTAAGTGGTGTACTTACAGGCTTCGTCTCATCTTTTCTACCGAAACACTGCAGTACCTTATTCAGATACTGTTTCTGAGTCAAACAAATCTTGCCTCTCATTCTCTCCCTGCTTATCTCCATCATGAGTATTTTCTTAGCTTCCCTCAAGTTTTTCTTCTCAAACTCTTGATTCAACTAAGCCTTCAAATGATCAATCTTCACTTAGCTCTTTGATGCAACCAACATGTCATCCACATACAAAAGTAAGTAAACGAAAGATCCATCTTCCATCTTGCGCAGATACACACAATGATCATGTCTGCTTCACGTGTACTTCTGCCCAATCACGAACTTATCAAACCGTTTGTACCACTGTCTTAGAGATTGCTTTAATTCGTACAAATATTTGTAAAAATTACAGACCCAATTCTCTTTTCCAAGAATTTTAAATCCTTCTGGCTGGATCATGTTGATTTTCTCATCTAAATCTCTGTGTAAGAACGTTGTCTTCACGTCAAGTTGAGCTAACTCTAAATTCAGTTGTGCGCTAAGGCCCAACAAAACTCTAATTGAAGAGTTCTTAACAACTAGAGAAAACACTACTTCATTATAATCAACTCCTTCCTTCTGAGCGTAGCCTTTAGCCAACAATCTTGCCTTGTAGCGCACATCATTCTTATATTTCTTTGCAAATATCCTCTTGCATCCTATTGTCCTCTTGCCTTTTGGTAGTTGCGTCACTTTCCAAGTTTGGTTCTTCTGGAGAGACAACATTTCATCCTTCATAGCTCATTTCAACTTCTCATTTTCTAAACACCGAATTGCATCTTGAAAAGTGAAAGGTATGTCATCATCTATAACTGGAAGGGTATAAGCCACCATATTTGCCAATCTAGTAGGTTGTTGAATCTCTCATCTGGGTTTTCTCAATGCAATGGGTAACTCTAATGATTATTAAGTTTGAACTTCATCATCCGACGAATCCTTTAATATCGGTTCATCCATAGAGCTGGTTGTCTCATCACCGCATCTATCTCCACATGCTTTGGTGTCAACTTCACCTGTTGGGTTTCCGTCGTCTTAATCATACCTTATTCATCAAATGTAACATCTCTGTTAAACACAGTTTTGTTTGTCTCAGGGCACAAAAGACGATATCCCTTCACGCCAATGTTGATTCCCATGAACAAAAAACCTTTTTCGCTCTTGGATCTGACTTTGAATCATTCGCATGATAATAAGTAGGACACTTAAATACATGTAAAGATCCATAGTGAACAACATGTTTTCCCAACCATACCTCCAACGGTGTTTTACCATCTTTTGCAGATGATGACAATCAATTTATGAGGTGTTGCATGTATGTTACAGCCTCAGCCCAATATTCCTTGCCCAAACCAGCATTGGACAACATACATTGAACTCTCTCCACCAATGTTCGATTCATGCGCTCTGCCGACCCATTTTGTTGTGGCGTCCCTCTAAAGGCGAAGTGTCTAACAATGTCATTTTTCCATCAAACCTCTTGAAAGTGATCACTTGTATGTTCTCCACCATTGTCCGTTTGTAAGACTTGATCTTCATTCCAGTCTGATTCTCAATTTGTGTCTTCCATGTAATGAAGACACAAAGCGTTTCATCCTTCAGCTTCATAGTGTACACCCAAACACGTTTGAAAGTCACTGATGAAAGTGACAAAATAACGTTTCTGCCTAATGATAGGGTCTTAGAAGGTCTCCAAATATCTGAATGAACATAATCCAGGACACCTTCGACATTATAGACAGTCGTTCCAAACTTCACTCTCTTTTGCTTTCCCAGAACACAATGTGTAACATCCCGCCTTCTACTTCTAGACTTTTAAAAATCTGAGTTAATTTTTTGTTTTTTATTTTCGAAATACACTTAACTTTTATTTTCGAAAATACTATAACTGACTAGCGGTATATTACTAAACTCAACTTTTCTTATCTCTTTCTCGTGCAAACCTTATAAAATACATGTCACCTAATCAAATCCATCTAATAAAGGTACCATGGAAATAAAGGTATTATACATGCATAAGTCTGGAGTCTCATGATAACATACTGGGTCTGAATATGCGGAAGCTAAAGTTTACACGCATAATAAATAATACATGTTCATAATAAATGACATGAAAATGCGTGTCAAAATCCACTGCTCATGACCACGGCCACCACAAGTGCTCACGCTCCATGCTAGACTCTGTCACCTAAAAATAAAGTTAGTGGCGGCGTGAGCAAAATCACTATGCTCCGCAAAGATCGGTTTTGAATAATACAATATCATTATTAACAATATTATGACTTGAGTATATAAATAACTGAACTGAACTGAACTCGACTTAAAGCCGCTTGGCACAAGGCCGCTAAATCATGTGCACACTCTGATGGAAGGCTTGCTGCTGCCTCCATCAGAACATAAGAGGGAACATTAAAGCTCGCTACTGCCTCCATCCTGGGCGATATAACTTGAACCAAGAAGGGGTCATTAAGGCTCGCTACTGCCTCCATTCTGGTTGAACATAACTTATTTATAAATACCACAGGTGAAGCATTAAGGCCCGTGAAGGCCTCCAATCCTGGGCGATATTACTTTTCTTATATTTACCTCGGACATGGTACAAAAATTAAAGATGATGTGGAACACAGTACGTGACCCCCACCTGATAAGCTGATACTTCTAGGCAAGCGTGTTGGATGACTGGTAGCTGTCAGAGGCTCGACTCTCTTTAAGCTACATAATGTTTTGAGCAAAATATTCTAAGTACTAAGCTCAAACTGAAAAAACTTGATTATTTTTATTACTGATCTTAATAGGTTCGCTCGCTCGATTTTTTATATTATTTAATCTCGGTTTAGAGGATTTACGAGCTAATTTGGGAAATTATTGTCTTGAAGCATTCTTGAGTT